GCGCGCGTCTCGCGTAACGGTCGTTGGGCAGCGGGCGCCACGGAAGGCGGTTAAAAACCGTTGGGCGCCGCTCCTCAGCGTCGCCCTGTGGGAAGGGGAGGGCGGGGGGAGCAGAGTCCCGGATTGCTCCCCGGTGAGCGCTGCGTGCGTTTCTTTACCTTTTTATCTCAGTTTTGTCGGTTGCTTTGCTTTTTTTTTTTATTGTTTGTTTGTTGTTTTTTTTTTCCCCTGAGGAGGGGGGAGGTCGGGTTTCGGGCGGTGGTGGTGTGAGCAATCCCCTTTCCCCAGAGCCGATTTCTGTAAATATTTGTTCGAGGATGGATTTGCTGCCAGTACCTGGCTCCCATTAACAGCTGCTACTTCGTGGGATGGTGTGGTTTCAGGTTGGACGATTGTTCCGTGAAATAGAAAAAACGTGAAATTTTTTTAAAGGAAATATTTAATGCAAAAAAAAAAATAATTCCTGAAATTCAGCTGCGTGTCTTTCTGTAGGTAGGAGGAAAGTGAATTGGACAGGCAGTGGTAGGAAATTTGCTTGAAGAGGCCAAGTCCAAGGACGTAATGGTTAAACAGAGACCTTGAAATAAAGGGGCTCATTCGTTCCTACTTACAAAATTTGTTATTTAGCCTTGGCTGAGGAAGGATGTTTTCTGAAAGAAGGAGCTCGTGAAATGGTGTAACCTGTGACTGCTCAGGAGAATGCCTACTGTCCAAATAGCAGTAAATGTTGCAAGTGAATGATTGGTCCGCAAATGGTTAACCCACAGTGACACGGGCTTCCAGGCAGATACCAAAGTCGCCAGAAGAGGCGACAAAAGGAGGCAGGAAGCGAGAACGTGTGTGGCAGTATGATGGCTGTGTGAGTATAAATGCATATGTGTGCATGTGCATAAGGATGTATCTTTGTGACAGGATGTGTGGTTTAAAAACACTCTTGATATGACTGCTCCACTGTTTAAATAGCGTTATTCTCATTCATGTGTTTACTTACTCAGATTTAAATATTTTGGTTTTATTTAAGTTTAGACACCAAAATTGTAGAGTTGCTAAAGCATCCTAGGATATTCAGGATAAGAGGTTTTTCTTTAGTGCCAGTGGACTTATGATTATATTTTTCTAACTGTATGTGTCCATGGACTTTCCCTTCAGTTTTGGTGCTAAGTGCTTTGGTACATACTGTAAGCAGTTTACTGGCATTGATTGCCTGGGCAAGGAAGGCAATTGCCCAGTTGACAGCTGGCAGCCAGCCAGTTGGGGCTGAAATTAACTTTCACCACCTACAGCTGCTTACTATGGCCCACCTAGGGATTTCAGAATAGTATTTTTCAGTAATCACTCTAAGCAGTCGTTATAGGTCTGGTAATTAAACGATTACTATTACTTTAGACTATTTCTACTTTTTACGTATCCATGTCCTTGGATACATTCATTCCTTCTGGAATAGTCAGTTTCCCAGTACTCCATGTTTTCTCTTGTTCTGGGTCATCTTTCTTCCTGCTTTCATAAAAAAACCTAAAATGACAACAAAGTGCCCTGGCACCTGGCTGCCAGGCTGCTGAGCTTAGCCAAAGATAATTCCCCTGTCTCTGTATCACTTTGCTACGCACTTTTTATGTGCTTGCTCTGAAAATGTCACCTGCACCTACACTTTTAAGTGCATGATTTATACATATAATTTAACTTTTAAAATACTGCTTTTTTATACTTTTCATCTTAAACATTTAAAAAACCCAAAAAATGGATGAAGTAATTTGAGGATTTACTTGTCAAAGCATGGTTCTTCATCTGATGGCAGCTCAGTCACTGCCAGCGTTTTGAAGTGAGGACAAAGAGGCCCTATAACACCATGCAATACTTACTGGTAACACTTAATGCTCTTTTGCAGAGATGGACACAGGTATTCAAGAGGCAGTCTTATCTTCCCTGCCATTTTTTCTTACTCTTTTCTGGTTGTATTATTCTGTACCTTTTCCTTCAGAGGGCACTAACTACAAGAATGGAGAATGAAAAAAAAAAAAAAAAATATATCAGGGAAGAGTATTTTAAAGGGAAAGGTGAATTGCTTCATAGTCTGGTCTTAGGAATGTCCCATGGAGCCTATTACATCAATGGGTGTTGCACGAACACGCTTACCATGTTGATTTCAGGAAACCTGAGCTCTACAGAGCTAGAAGGGTGTTTCCTTGTTTCCACTTGTGTTCTTTATTGGGACTGTCATTTGCTGCCACTTTTCCTTCACCTCTGAGCACTTGTTGGCTGAGATAGGATAGCAAAGCAAGTGGCTTCTGCTGAAGAATTTCTAGAGCAGCATAAAAAGAAGCCCTGTCTTTGTGGATCAAGTGACAGATACTTAAAAGAAAAAAAGTGACAGATCTTCTGAGTGAGCCAACATATTTGTGTTAAGAGCTGCTGAACAAATTGGGCTCACAGGAATGAACAATCCTACTCTGTAGTATTGAATCATGAGGGCTAAGTTTTTCCACCCACAAAATTGGTTTTAGATTTCAAAATTCTCCCACCACCTTGATTTATCCTAATTTTAATGGCTATTAAAGAAAATATTACTGTAATTGTTAAAAATTTAATTGGCACCTTGCTATTACTCTGCCTTTAGAAGCAGACCTTTCTTTCAAAGGCTGCACAGTGTTAGCCTAACATGAATTAAGCCTCACGAATCACCTTGCTGTACGAGTGGGTAGGCAGAAGAAAAGAGGTCGGAGTTGGTTATGCAAAGCCACAGGGGAAGGCACGAGCAGAGCTGGGATGAGGGCTAATGTAGCAGGCACGCTGTGCTTCCTGGCTTTCCAAGGAAATGGTGTTCCCTTAGAAATAAGTAGAGCGGGATGAAATGGTCACACTGAGACAAGGGGATAAATGCTACGAAGGTTTTTGCATAATGGGAGCATTTACAGAAAACAAACAAAATAAAAAAAACCAAACCTGATTGCATCTCTATGGGCAACCTATCCTACTAACACCTTTGGGAATGAGCCGAGTCCCATCCCAGAGGAGAAATGAAAGTCTGGACACTGTAGCTCCCCTCTGCACCTTTAAAAAAAAAAAAACCCTGATTGCATCTCTATGGGCAACCTGTCCTACTAACACCTTTGTGAATGAGCCGAGTCCCATCCCAGAGGAGAAATTAAAGTCTGGACACTGTAGCTCCCCTCTGCACCTTCATATGGCTGCTCTGGGGCTGTCTTGCACCCATTTTAGTACAGCACTTTGCTTGGTAATGCTTCGTTGCTGTGCAAAATATACCTGTGAGCCAGAGTCAATAGTGACTTCTGGAATGGTATCTCGAGGCAACAGGTTTAATGACTCAGTTAATGGCAGCGAGCCTCCCACCATAGAATAATTTTCTTGGATACTGCTTCTGGTCACTGTTGAGACTTTAACCCTTTGGAGTTAGGGGCAGAAACCACCTGGGACTTGGCCCCATATAAACAAGGCTCGATAAAATGTGCTGAGGAAATGTGAAGTGTATGCTGTCCAAGTTGCAGCTAACAGGTCTCCCTGTTCACTCATATTTATCCAGCAGTGCAGTACCATTAAAAATACATGTAACTGTTGGGTATGAACCAACTCACTCACCCTACTCTCCTGCAATGCTGCTTTGTGAAAGATAAGCCCCATTTACAATGGACACGTATGACACACGTACTTCAAGTTCTTATTTCTTAATACAGCAAGATATAACACAGTCATCCTAAGTGATATGCTACATCCTTTACTCCCCTGCATTCCTTTCCAGGTAAGGTTGTCAGAAGCTTGTGGAATAGGAGCTAGTCCAAATTGCTGTGTCAAATCCCAGGCACTTTATTAAAAGCATATGAAACCTCACTTCTCTGTACCTCTCCTTGTGCCATTAGGATTTAGGATCTTCCACAGGTGGCTGCAAAGCTTCTGAGGATTTTGCTCTGCAGCATGAGCTTGTGATGTCCTGCAGAGTGGTGTTTTAGTGCTGGGCAGTTAGGAGACAGCACGCATAGTAGCCATAGTAGAAACCTGCTCTGTGCTCGCTGTACCCTTCTGCTACCCTGGAAGGACAGTCACCCACCTGCCTCCCATTTCTTCTCCCTTAGCCCTAATGGATGCCTGGTATCCCAGGGTGAAAAGAAACCAATAGTTCTGCAACTATTTTTTTTCTTTGAGGCTGCCCAGCACAAGGATATCTCCCAACTGCCCATTTTCTCTCTTCTTCTGCAGCAGGCAATGACAGAGCTCATGCATTTCATCTGCAGAACTGCATTCTACCTCCCTACTTTTACTGTTGTTCATCCTACACTCTCCTGTTGGTTATATGTTCTCTGGCCCCAGTTTAACACTCTTCAGTATTGCACAGATAACAGCAGGCAGATGCTGTGAATACTCTGCTGTGGAACTGGCAACACTGCGTAAATACCAACAACAGTTCTTCAGTTTTCCTTAGTCTCTGCTGCAGTGCTAGAATTAATGTATTAAAAATATCATGTATCCCATGAGAACACAGAGATGTCTTTTTCTAGAAAATAAAGCCTTTTAGAAGCAGATTCCAAATTAACTGAGCAGGCTAAAGAGGAAAGAAAGAAAAAAAGAAAAAAAAAAAAAAGGTTTTCCCAAGCATTAAGAATTCTTCAAAAAGGGGAGAAGAGGACAAAAATGGATGTAAAGCCAAAGTTGCTATAAAAAGAAAGATGGTGAAAAATTCATTGTAGCCTTCTCTTGGGTCATTGACATTAACTCATTAGCAATTAATAAATCCGGGAATGATAGTCACAATGAATCGATAGGGCAGGGGTAAGTAGTTGTCCAGTCAAATTAGGATAATTTCAGTGGTTACAAATTATCTTAAGTATACATAATTTATTGGTAAGGATCACAGTGAATCTAGAAAGTGTGACAGTGGGTGAAATACATAAGAGGAGGAGACAATAAGTCAAGCTGTCACCGCTCTGAGCTACAGTGAAAGGTTTAATACCGTTCATTTACCATATTCGGAGGGATAATTTCCAGCTGAATTGGTATATCTGTACTGGTCTGGAAACAGTGTGCATTAAACACTGATACTTTATCACAGCCTGCCTCCTCTTTGCTTCCTCACAGTTTGGGAGGGAGTCTGGCTCAATCCTGTTTGGAATCAGTATAATATGATACAATGGGGGTAGAGGTGAGGCAGCCTAAGAAAGGCTAAAGGAATCAGATTGTGATTAATTTTTAAAAGGTATTAAAGGAGAGACCAAGAGACACAGGCACTATTAATAAACCACAATATAAAAAGTTTTATAGATTTTGTATTTAGATATTAAAGCTTTACAGAGTCATATGATTAAAAGAGATACAAGCTTTTGAGAAATACCTTTGGTATATCAATTTTCCTTCTGCATTTAGTCAGTCATGAGCGTTATCTACAGTAGGGCTATGATGCATAAAAAGTAACATGTTAATAAAATGACAGGAGAGGTTTAAGAGTTACATAAAAACTCCATGCTGGCTCTGTTTCTTTGATGTGTATCCTGTCACATTTCACCCACATAGTTTGTTTCAACCATATTTCATGATTCTTTGGTAGCAAATAAAAAGAGGAGGAGGAGTAGTAGTATACAAAAAAGGAAAGTACATGGATAATTCATTAATGTTTCAGATGTTTCAGAAAAATGGCTCATTTTATTAAAAAAGAAAAACCTCACTTTATTATGAAATAATATTTATTTACAGGTATTTTACATTTTTAGAAAATAATAAGATTGTACTTTAAAATCATTCATTTCTTTTTTATCATTTATCTGCTTGTACAAAAGAAGCAAAAACACTGTCTTCTTGTTCTAGCAGAACCTCAGGCTTGTCATATTCCAGAATAACCCCTCTCTTCATTACAATAACCAAATCTGCATTGAGGATCGTGTGCACGCGGTGCTGAAAAAACAAATAAATAAAATGCCAATTCAGTGCATCTATCAAATATAGTCCAGCATAAGAGACTTCCAGAAATTAATTTTCCTATCAAAGTTTGATTAAGGCTACTTATGCTACTTTTCATCCTAATTTACTGCGCAAATACTGCAGATAATTAAAGAGCCATGTGAATATTCAAGTACCTAAATTGCACATAGGAACTTGAGTAAGAATCGTTATCTGAGTTCAGACTACAGTGTCCCTAGCCCAGAGTCCTGCCACCAAGTGTTGGCACACGAAGGTAGCTGGGAAGAGTGGGAACAGGGCACACAAGTGCGGTACTCTCCCAGTCCTGGACTACGTCTAGACTGGGGTGTTCCTGAGCTTGGTGTGGTTTGTCTATTTGTAATACTGAGATTTCTCTTCTAAGACCTTGCTCACATCTTCTCTTGAGCTTTCACAAATGTTTTGCATCCACATCCTTTGGAAAAGATTCTTCCAGGCTTGCTCCCCACTGTGTGAGCAAGTACCCCCCTTTGTAGGCTCTGGGCCTCCTTGCTCAGAGGATGCCTCTTCCCCCTTGCCTCATG